CAGGGCCGGGTGCCTGAGAGGCACGCCGCTGGGATGCTCTCCCATAGGAGGAGCTGTAACCCATGTGCCTCAGCTGCTGGGACCTCAGGGTGGCTGTCTAGAGTGGGGACTGCCCTGAGGATGCTGTGGCAGAGCTTGTCCCTGCCCTCAGCAGGATGGCATGGGGCTACCTTCTGCTGGTGGTATAGGAAGGCTTGGTGGATGTATTGGTGTGAACAAGTGGGAGATGGCTTGTCTGCAGGAAAAAATGGCATGTAGCTGCGGGTGGCTTCCTGGAGAGGTGGGATATCCAGTGGCATGGTGTGGATGAGGCATGGGAACATGTTCCTGCTATAGGTGTCCTCGGATGTCTCCTAAGTATTGGTGATAAAGGCTTGTGTGCTCCAAGTGCTGGGAATGTAGCCCCCAGGACCTGGCCAGTTTTAGGGGGCTGGAGTGGCAAGAGCTGTGTGGAAGCAGGGCTGTGGGTAATGCAGAGGTCAGCCTTGCTGGCTTCTGGGAGGCTTCAGAGCAGTTTCTTAACAAAAGTCCAGGGCTGGAGACCTACCAGAGCAGCCTCGCTGGGGGTGGGTGCTTGTGCCTTTGCATCTAACATTTCTGAGATAACTTGACCCTTGCTGTGCTGCAGGACAGTGTCTGGCTCTTCTGGAGACTCCCTCTCAAGAGATCTTACTTAAAAGCAGATGTGGTTAGGAGATGTGGTCTTCAGAGCAGTTTCTTAACAAAAGTCCAGGGCTGGAGACCTACCAGAGCAGCCTCGCTGGGGGTGGGTGCTTGTGCCTTTGCATCTAACATTTCTGAGATAACTTGACCCTTGCTGTGCTGCAGGACAGTGTCTGGCTCTTCTGGAGACTCCCTCTCAAGAGATCTTACTTAAAAGCAGATGTGGTTAGGAGATGTGGTGTTGTAAGACCCATGGTGATCTCCTGGCAGTGCTGAGGCTGTGGTAGGAAGAGGCAGGTGTTGCTCCTTGGCTTCTTTAAAGCCTTGGTGCTGAGTACATAGCTGTGCTTGCACCAGGTTTGTCTCTTTTCTGGGAGACAGAGCTGTGTGAGGATTGCTTTAGAGCCACTGAAGATTTGGACACTAAATGGGTTTGTCCTTGTTCCTCCCTTCTCCTGCGTGGGAAGCTGTGCTGAGATCCTCCCTCTCCAAGAGATGGCCTGGATGGTCTTGTCCCTCCTGGCACAAATCCTGTTTTCCATGGCTCTCCTCCATCTCTGCTGGGTGTTTGGACTGGGGACATCCCCAGAGGGGGCAGGGACAGGGAAGGGAAAGTGTTTTCTGCAGGGCCTCCAACAGTGTGACCCTGCTGGGCTGTCCTAGGCAAGAGCTCCTTGCTGCCCTGTTTCTCTCTCTCTCTCTGTAAGTGTGTGTGTCCAGTTAAGGTCAGTCATCCTGGGTGAGATGGGCTTGCTCTGAGCTGGTATCTCATCTTGAGTCTCAGAGCAAGGTGTTCCTGGAGATCTGCTTTTGCCATATCTTCACCAAGCTCCTGTTGAACATGCAGTTTGGCCCAAGCAGTTCCTGATCTAGCCCTGGATGGATATCTTGTGGTCTTTCCAGCTGCTCTGTGGGGAGGCTTGATATTTACATGGATCTGGTGTTTGGTGGTAAGGAGTTGAAGTGGGAAAAATCTATTTAAGCAGAAGCCTACCCTGTCTTGGCATGTTGAGTGCGAGGGCTAGAAGCCTGGGTTCATCATCCCTGGGTGGTCCCAGTGGCCTCTCAAAGCCTGCAGGAATTGACCTGCAAGGGAGTGACTGGAGAGTCCCACTCCTACTGGAGGATGCTTGTCCAGATTCTACTGTTGCCCTTGTCTATAGTTTCTTCTTTTTTGGGGACAAGGAGGAGGAGACTTGACCAGGGTTGCCCACAGTGCCCAAGATGCTTAGACTAGTAAGTTGACTCCTGCTTTTCTCCTATGGGATAACCCAGATCTCCTTAGCTCTCTGATTGCTGCTGACCCCATGTTTACACCTGGTCTCAGAAGCCATCTCCCTCTGGCTTACCTCACTTTGTCCCTCAAATGTATTGCTCAGGTCTCTCAGCAGCCTCACATTGCCTTCCCTAAATAACTTGGTCTCACTTTCCCCTTACCCTTTTCTAGATTGCTTATGGATGTGCTGAATTGCAGAGGTCTCAGAAAACTTACCACTTGCTCTCGTTGCTTCTCCTACCAAGCTCTTCTGAGAAGGGACCTGCCTTAGTCTGTCTTGAGACCCTTTGAGAACCTTGCTTGAAGATCTTGGCTGGTGGCATTTAAGATTGCCCAGGCTTTCTTTGGGGCAGTGCTAGCCCTTGGTGGGTGCTGTGGGTTGGCTAGGATCCCCTTTCCAACCCTGTGTATGGTGACAGACTGGACCTGGAGGCCAAGGGAGGCTTTTGGCCTGTGAGAGAAGGTCTCCTGTTCCCATCCTTGGCAGCAACTTATGGGGCTGGCATAAGGAGCTTGTTACCTCTGACATAGAGCTTTCCTAGGCACCTGCGTTCCTCTGTTCAGGCTGTTGTAAGGGCTCTGAGTAGCTGACTTTTCCCTTCCCCAAGCAACTATGTGTCTTCTATTCCATCGCGCCTGTCGCAAGGATTTACCGAGCGACACATCACAGGACCATTTAGAGACCCAACAGGGATGTGGATTTCTATCTGCTTGGAAGAAATATCCATTCTGGGGTCTGAGCACACTCAGATCCTGAAATATTGAAAAGGGATGGTGCTTTCACATGGCTGAGGCACATGTGTGCCACCACACTCCACACAGTCCTCCCCTGCAAGAGATGGCCATGTGTCTTCTGGGAATGCACTGCAGGCACTCCATCTAGTTCATGCTGAAGCACAAGTACCAAAGTCTGATGCAGTGAGCAAGCTGAGAGACAGTGCCATTGTCTGCTCTGTCTGGGCATGAGGTGGCCCTGGAGTGATGCGTAGAAGCATCAAATAAGGGGCTGGGCTGGGTGAGGAGACTGTAGGACTGAGCCTGGGCATGAAATGTGTTTCTGAAGGGTTCCAGATAGCATCCTACTTCCCTAGACAGGGTAAAGCAAAAGCTGGGGTGTGTGGTAGGGCCATCCATACTGAGGGATCAGGGAGGGGATGGGAAGGATGCTCCATGGTTGCATCCTGCAGCAGTCTTGAGATATGCCACGCTGGAGAAGGGCTCACCATGCTAATGGGTGGTGGTAACAGCCCTCTGGGGTGTTCACTGGGTGGTGGCAGCCCTTAGTCTCAGCACGCATGGAGAGCAAGAGGAGTGGAGGACCCCAAGACTCTCATGATCACTGTCCATCCTGTAAGTTTTAAACTGTACCTTGAGTTGGTGTGAAGGACAGCCCTGGCAGGACTGTCCTGGGCACAAGAACTCAAGGAGGTGTCTTTTCTACTGTAAAGAGGTGAAACTCCTCTGCTTGGAGGAGTTTGAATCTGGGTGCCCCTGGAGAGTTACAGGGTGCAGAGGCTCTGCTGCATGCTCCTGTGTTTTCATGTGGCTGCTGTCTCTAGCCCAGGAGAGGGTCAAGTGTGTGCTACTCACTTTGGTGGCAAAAGAGATTTAACGAGGTGTCCGATACAGCCCACTTTGTCTGGGGAAGGGGAAATGGCTGAGCAAAAACTAAAAGGTAGGAGCAGAGTGCTTCTGTCCTGCAAATGTAATGAGGTCACTCCAGACTTGAAACAGGCCAGGAGATGGATACTGGCTTAGGGGCTTCTGGTCCTGCTGCATTTTTTTGCAGCTCAAAAGCATCTGGCACTGGGTGCCATTCTGAGCATTTGGGCAACAGTGCTGTCCCATGACCTTCTCATGGCTTTTTTGGGACTGTCTCAGTGGTTGGCATCCCCATGCAATGAAAAGGGAGGAGCAGAGAGCTCCATCTCAGTCCTGTAGTCTTCTGTCTTCCCTCACCCATCTGTCAGTGCTGGCTGAGCTGTGCTTGTGGTCTCCTGGTCCTTGTTAATGATGATTAGTGTCTTGCTGACCTCTGTGCATCACTCTTCCCTTACCAGCTCTCTGCTGATTTACAAGAAGTCTTGGCAGCTTCATCATGCTGCTTCCTATGGAAAAAGGCTGCCAGCCAATGTGTCCCAGCTCAGGTGGTCATGATGGTCTCACTGTTGAGCAGACTTCTCCCAGGCCGTTCACCTTCAGCACTGTTTCTTCTTCCTGCCTTTTCATGTAAACTATGATAGATAACTTCAACAGACTATCTGTTGAAGTCTTCTGGCGCTTTATTTTTGTTTAAACCTGCTGAGTATGTTTGGTCTTGGTACGTGACTTCTACAGCTTGGAAAGAGTAGCAGCCTACATGGACTTGGAGCAGTACAGCTGGCTTTTGACTAGGCATTATAGGACAAACACTATAAGAGCTGGTTTGGGAGCAGGTTCTGAAGGGTTTGATGTGTGTTGGTGAAGGAGCTGGGATGGAGCCAAAAATCATCCTCCCAGTGATGTTCTGGGGCTTTTGCAGAAGTCCAAAGATGTGAGTATAGCAGTGAGGTATTTTTCAAAATGGAGGGCTGTCTTTGAATCAGTGGCTGAAGTAAAGTGCCAGGATAGGCTAAGGAAAGGAGATCTAGTATATGATCTGTAGAAAGAGCTAGAGAGGCAACTGGGGTTTGTACTGGTCTCTTCTGGACCTTTGATATGTGTCAAACTCTGTGTTGGTGCTTTTGGCAGTGCATGGTCTTCTAGCAGTCTTTCCAAGTTTTGGTCATCAAGGTCAAATCAGACTATGGTGCTAGTGTCCATGTCCTAATCAACTCAGACTATTCTGCTAGAGACTGAATTTTTGTAAAGGTCTCAATCCTTTGTGGCAGGGAGGAATAGTACTGGGTGTATTTTGTCCTGGACAATGCTCCTCTGATGTAGGGAAGGGTTAGTGCCTGCAAGGCCACCTATGGTACAAGGTGTCCTACTCTTATTGCACCTAGCTTCTGGACTATGCTCTGTACTCCCACTTTGGTACTAAACATCTCCTTTCAGTAGACCTTGTTGACCTCTCTCCTAGGTACGGACACTGTTTGTCAGTGGCCTTCCTGTGGATATCAAGCCCAGAGAGCTCTACCTACTCTTCCGACCATTCAAGGTAAGAAGGTCCTCAGACTTGGTCTTTGGTGGGAAAGATACTGTCTTCTGGACAGCCTTGCAGCAAAGATCCCTGTTAGAGGGAAGCAAGGATGAGGTGGGAAGGTAGGCCTTCTGTGAAAGCTTGAGGAACCTGGTAGGAAACCAGAATGGTATCCCATTACTTATGCACAGCTGGGTAATCCCTGGAACCTGTTGAAATCATGCTGTCTCCAAGCCTGATAAAGGCTGCTTGGTCAGCCTTGCAGCCCAGCTGGACCAGCCTTTCCTCAAGGATGTGTCCTGATCCCCTGACTGTCCATCTTTGACTAGATCACCACATGGGCTGTCCTTGGGAAAAGTGGGGTTCCCTTGTTTGTGCTTTTCCAGCACAGGGGGCTCTATGCTCTCTAGAAGCTTGATGAAGAGCTAGAAAGTGAGATTTCTTCCCAAAGGTCTAGCTGAGATACCTGCTCTTCTCTTAGACTAATATCAGTCTTCTCTTTTGGTGGGAAAGAAGGGACATGTTAATATAGCTACTGCTGCAAACCCTGCCTGGCAAAGGGTTTGGTGTTGCAGGAACTCCTGGAGCTGTCATGTCTTGGTTGTAGCTTGACTCCTTCGGGAATCTGATACTGACTTGCTTTCTTCCCTTCTCCAGGGTTATGAAGGGTCACTGATCAAGCTAACTTCAAAGCAGGTACCTCCTTTTTCCAGTGCTTGGGTATTTTTGGCTTTTGCTAGAAAAACAGACATGCCAGGAGGGAAGGGGAGCAGGGACAGGCACCATTTCTGCTCACACCCACAATCCTGGTGGCCCCAAGCTCTCAGCATATGCTGAATGGCTCCATATTTTCTATTGCTGCCCAGGACCATGTGGGCTAAGGGAGACTGGTGCTTCAGCCTCAAACCTTGTGCTGCCAGAAACCTTCCCCAGACCCATGCTAATCAAGGCAGTTGGTTCCCCTTGTGGGCACAGGTTACCTTTGCTGGGGGCTACCAGGGTGAGCAGTGTTTCCATGCGTAGGAATACCAACCAAAGCATTTTGGTGTGGTGGGGGCAGACATGGAGCAGGAATCTTGGGATGATGACTTCAAGCTCTGCCTGAAGGCCCTCTGCAGCTTTTGATGTTTTCTTTTGCTTGCTCTAAACTATCTGGGGCAGAGAGGATGGTGGGGCAGTCTAAGGAGCTGGAAGAGGCTTCCAAACTGAAATCAATATTATTTCTTTTAGCCAGTTGGTTTTGTGACCTTTGACAGCCGGGCTGGTGCTGAAGCAGCGAAGAACGCCTTGAACGTGAGTACCCAATGTGCTGGGAGGCCCCAGGGAGGGCTGGGGGCCACATGTCCTGCTGTAGCTTGATCTGGAGCTGTGGGGCCAGAGTGGTGCTTGGCTTGTCATAGGAAGGGTCAAAGTTTCTCAGCTGTGCCCTTGAATATGGAAGCTAAATGGTCCTGCAGCATACCACCATGGAAGCTGGAGAGCTGTTTAAGGCTTGACATCAGCAAACAAATGCACAAAGGTGTAGTTTCTGACCACTGGAAGATTGCTCCAGGGCCTCTGAGGGTGTGGGGAAAGAACAGCTACTTCTCTTCTGGAGTTGGCATGCACCTCCTTACTCAGCAGTTGGCCTCTGATAAGAGGGTGCAGACTGTGAATCCTGTTCCTTATCCATTAAGTGCTCCCCCCTGTATCAGTAAGAGTTGTGGACCAAGAGGACTCCCTTGTTCATTACCTATGTTTGTCAAGGTGTGGCCAGAGCTACCCTTCAAGGAACTTTTCCTCCTGCTGTCTGCACTGAGTGGTGAGGTGGGGGCTCATCCTAGCATGACTGCTTGACTTGATCTTGTCTTGAGTACTTGAAGCAGGCAGATCTTCTCTGGGGAATCAACCCTTAGCAAACAGATAAGAGAGGTGTTGGGGACATAAGTGGTTCCCAGGCATAGGGCAATACCCAGTTGACACCCTGTAATGCTTTAATGAGGTGTGTGGAGCTCAACTTGTGTTTAGCATCAGCTTTTTGAGGCTCTAGGTCAAGCTCACCAGTGTATGTGTGTGGTGAAGCAGGTTGACTGCAAATCTGGTCTATTATGTGGCCGTAGGTCTTGCTTGGTGTTAGTGGCCTTGTTAAAGCCTCGCTTTACCAGATAACCTGATGGAAAATGTGTGGCAGTTCAGCAGAGCAGGTCCTTGTCCTGGACCCTAGCCTGCCAGGACCTCTGCAGCCAGAAGATACCTCCTTCAGAAAGAAAGGAAACCAGCCTCCCCATGCTGCTGTTTCCATGGGAGGATGTGAGGCAGGGCCAGAGCTGTCTGGTACAAGTTCTTTAGCACATTCACAGCATTTCCAAACTGCTGCACCCCGAGAAAAGACATAAGGATGATCAACGTGGCAGGCGCAGCCCAAAGCTATCTCCATCCCATATGGTCCTACAGGAGTTGCTGGGATCTAGGCAGCAAGACATGCTGATCTGGTTCTGCTGACCTTGCCTTGGGCACTGGGGCACGTGCTAGTGTCTGCCCAGGCTGGCAGTAGGTGTAGCAGCACCAGAGATAGGAGCTTCAGTATAAATGGGGTTATCTCGGCTCCAGCAGGCAGATTTTTCCTGACCAGTGTTGGTAGTCATCACTACTATGCTGGTTGGTGAACTGTGCATCAAGAGCAAAGCTGGGTCCCTCATGTTGGAAGCAGTGGTCCTAGGCCAGCTAAATATAGAAATACAAGCATGTGAGAGCTTGAGTGTTGCAATGAGGTGACAAAAACCCTGGGCTATGTGACTGCAGCGTGATGGCCTTGGTTGCCTGATTGGGCTTTGCTCCATGAATAGACACAGCCTGTGCTTAGACTGGAAACCTCACCTCTGAGAGATTCCTGTGCTTTCTTCTGTGACAGGGCATCCGCTTTGACCCAGAGAACCCCCAGACCTTGCGGTTAGAGTTTGCTAAAGCCAACACAAAGATGGCCAAGAGCAAGCTGATGGCCACACCAAACCCCACCAACATCCACCCTGCCTTGGGCGCACATTTCATTGCACGGGACCCCTGTGAGTATGCTGGGAGGGATTTTGAGGTCATGGCTGTTCCAATGTAGGAGATGACCAAGCCTGGGAATACTGCCAGGGTGGAAAGGAAACAATATCAATGTATGCTCTGGCTGAAGTCTGCAATTTGCAGGAGGGCCAGCATGTTAGGGTCGCAGGAGAAAAGCAGACAACTGGTAAGGCTTCTGACTGACACTAGAAGTGTTGGGAGAGCAGAGTTGGGTTTGTAGCTCAAATGATACCATAAGTCCTTTAGACCATCTGTAGCTGTGAAGCAGAAAGGATGAGTCCTGTGTCACACACCTTCAGCATAGCCTGGTGGGGTGAGCAGCCCTGATGAGGCTTGTTGGGCAGCCCAAGAGCCCATCTTCTGTCCTACCATCCTGTGCCACCAGCCCTGACCAAAGCCTGTGTGGTGTGATGAGCAGTGATGGAGTGTGTTCCTGGGCTCTCTTGGAAAAGCCAGTGGCAGAGATCCTGCAGGGCAGGAAGATGTGCCAGAGGAGGTTGAGGTTGGCCATGAGGAAAAGGTTCTTGAGGCAGAGGGTGGTGGAGCACTGGAACAGGCTCCCCAGGGAGGTGGTCATGGCACCAAGCCTGACAAGATTCCAGAAGCATTTGGCCAAGGCCCTCAGACACATGGTCTGAATGTTGGGATTGTCCTGTGCAGGGACAGGAGTTGGACTGGATGACCCTTGTGGGTCCCTTCCAACTTGCAACACTGATTCTATGATTTTTAAAACTGACTGGGATGGCAGCGCAGAGCTTTAGTTTGGGGTTGGAAATACAGGGCCTGTCCCTAAAGCAGGCTATTGGGGCCAACTACTGAGATGCTGTCACCTTGTCTCCTCCTGTCTAGATGACCTGACTGGAGCGGCTCTTATTCCAGCGTCCCCAGAAGCATGGGCTCCCTACCCACTCTACACCACGGAGCTAACCCCTGCCATCCCCCATGCTGCCTTCACATACCCAGCAGCTGCCGCTGCGGCTGG